ACTAAAGTCATGTATTTTTTAACAAAAATATTTCTTGTGACTTTTAGTTTAAGAAATGGTGACGAATTGGATGAATGTTTTGAAATTATTTATACTTTAAGATATTTTTTACTATTGATAAAAACTGCTTCTTCAATATGTCACATTTTTTATAAAATATTTTGTAATGTTTATAACCCATTTACCAAAACAAAATGAAGTTACAAAAATGGTTGTAACTGAAACTGCAAACGAAATTTAATTTGATGTGTTTTTATTGATTTTTCTATTAAATGATGAGCAGAAGCATTTTTTTGTAAGTCTTCTAAAAACAACTTCTGAATTTGATAATTATATTATTTTTAAATTAACCATTTTGTTACGAGCGTCGCTTATAGGCGGCATTCGCTTGACCTGTGTGTACGAGTGTCGCCTAAAGACAACATCAAGTGTGTCTTTTGTCTTTGATAAATTGTCGAAAATTCTAATTTATTATTATAATTTTTAGTTATTTGCTTCTTGCCTGGGGGCGATTTTTGCTTAGCGACCTGTGTGTACGAGTGTCGCTTATAGTCGACATGCAGTGTGTCGACTTTTGTTCCAAGATTTATCACTCTGAGCATCATAATTTGTTTAGATTTTTAGTTTTTTTGCTTTCATTACAAGCGTCACCTAAGACGATCTGTGTGTACGAGTGTCGCCGATAGTCGACATCCAGTATGTTACCTTGTGCACCATGATTTATCATTCTGAACTACATTACTGAGCATTTTAACTTGTTATTTTGATTTTTAGTTTAGTTATATAAGCGTCACTTATAGGCGACATCCTATTTGCAATCTATTTGTAGAAGTGTTGCCTATAGTTGACATCTAGTATGTCGCCTTGTGCTCCATGATTTATCATTCTGAACTAAATTACTGAGCATTTTAATTTGTTATTTTGGATAATGTCACCTATAGGCGACATCTTCTTTGCGACCTATTTTTAGAAATGCTGTCTATAGTTGACATCCAGTGTGGAGAATCAAGATTTATTATCACCTTTGGTTAAATTTATGATCAATATAATTTGTTATTATGGTTTCGAGTATTTTCGCTTTTGCAACAAGCGTCATCTATAGACGACATCCTGTGTGTTGACTTGGGCTTCAAAATGATCATCATTCTGAGCTAAACTTTTGAACAAATAATTTGTTATTTTGATTTTTAGTTTTGCTCGCTTTCACTATAAGCGTCACCTATAGGGGACATTTTCTTTGCGACCTATTTGTAGAAGTGTTGCCTATAGTTGACATCTAGTGTGTCGACTTGTACTTCATGATTTATCGCCACTCTTGATTAAATTTATAATCAATATAATTTGTTATTATGGTTTCTGTTTTTTTGCTTTTGCTACAAGCGTCGTCTATATACGACCTATGTGTGCGAGTGTCGCCTATAGTCGACATTCAGTGTGTTTGGACTTGGACTTCTGAATTTATCATTCTGAGCTAAACTATTGAACTTTATAGTTTGTTATTATGGTTTTTAGACGTTATGAACGTCGTCTATAGGCGACATTCGCTTGAAATATTTTTTATAAAATGGCTGGCTCGTACAGCAAGGGTTAATTATTATTTCGGACTCTAAAGTTCAATAATGAATAAAATTATAAAAATATTTTTTTGCAAATTATCAAATCAGAAGTTGTTTCTGGATAACTATTATTTGTTTTCGTGTGTTTAGTTATATATAAGTAACTTTTACTATAAGTAAATATTTTTATACTTTTGTACTGCGTTTTTGAGCGAAAGAAATTTATTACCCATGTAAGTTTTATTAGTAATTTATAGCATTATTATTATTATTATTATAACATATTCAAAAATCAATATTTAGTAAGCAGGGCGATGAGAGAGCTAAAAGGAGATGTCGGATTTTAAATGAATTGTGATAAAAAAATATGTCATTTTTTGATAGAATTTTATTAAACTCGTAGCTCGTAAAAAAACACTTGATCAATTTTCATTTTGATACGATAATCAATTGACGGCAATTTTAGCAGCTTGTTAGGATTAATTCTGACAAATAATTGACAACATAGTAATAAGATTGGGTGAGAATTTATTTATTAATGTTGTCAAGTATTTGTTGGAGTGGTCAAAAGCCCTTAAATAGTCGTTCGCCGTTTAAATGTTACTTTTATATTTTTGCCTCTGATTAAGTAATTAAACTAATCATACACATTTAACATAACATAAAGATAAAAAAACACATAAACACATACATATTTATCTATATACAAGAATCTATTAGATATAAAGAGCTTCGAATGGTATTTATATTAGCTACAAATAAATGAATAAAAAAATTATAAAAATGTTTGTGTGACTATTTTTTTTTAAATTTGATCATTTTTTTAATTTCTCAAATAACAGATAGTCTTGAGGTAAGTTGAAGGAAATCAACAGATAAAATGTATATATGAGTCCTTTTTACCTTTTGTTAACTTCCCGTAGGGCAAGTTATAGTAATCGCAAAAAAATCAAAAATGAAAATTATCTTAGAGAAAATGGATGTATGTGTGTGTGTTTGTGTGTGTGTGTGTATGTGCGTGTATGTGTGTGTGTTCGGATACAGATTTTCGTCGACGATTTCGGGAACACGGATCAACCGATTTAAATAATTCAAAAAACATTCGATTCGTATTGATAAGGAGACGTGCTGATTAGTTTTTGGCAAAGGCAGGTTTAGCCGTTCCGAAGATACGGTGCAAAAAGTGCCGAAAACGGTAACTCAGTTTTTAAGAGAACGGAGCGTCCGATTTTAATAATTCAAAAAACGTTTTACTTGTATTGACAAGATGAAGAACTGATCAAACTTTCATGAAGGCAGGTCTAGCGGTTTCGGAGATCTAGTGAAAAAGTAAAAAAATGTCATTTAGCGGTCAAAAATGATCATTAGACATATGCACATCAAATTATCAGATATTTTATAGAGTTTTTAACAATAAGTATTAATTTTGTTTACATTCCTATGGGTTCCGTACCAATTCTTATCCGTTAGACGGCGGCGCGGCGCTTACGCGCTTCGATATTTCGTCTCTATGCAGTTAAAGCAGTACGATTGCTTTGGAAAAAAGTTCAGATCTTCCAAAATATGTCAAAATTAGTAAAAATAAAAATTTTCAAAAATGTTATTCGTTTTTAAAAAAATAATAATTTTTAATACGGGAAGTTCCAGCAATTTGCCTTAAGGCTCGATGCCATGAGCCCACTAGTTTATTTTAGCATTTCTAGGATTCTTCAGTCATCTAATGATTAGAGCTATAGACTTCCATTCAAATTCCTGATTCGATAGCCTCCTCGGACAGCCTGATGTCAAGCAGTAGTGACATAAATTTCGATTCAAAAATATTAGAATTATCCGGCATTGCTGCATCTATAAAAAAACCACCAGTTTTACAGAAATTGTAATAATAGTAATACTTTTACATAAATTGTAATAATAACTAGTGGTGAATGGCATCGTCTTAAGGCAAATTACATTCATTTGTTCGCTAAGGTATATCTAAAAACATTTTTAAAACTTTTGAAAATTTTCCCATGCTCTTACCCATATTCCCATACAAAACTTTGATTGAATTGCGCACTATCTAACATAAGAGCTAAAACTTATAGAGGATTTTATTTTATCAATTTGGAAGCATTAGAGCTTTTGGGAGAAGGGAAATTTGAAAATGTCCATATTAAGGACCACCCTAGTATGTATATATATACATATCTACCCTAGTATACATATATATCATATCTTATATATAAAACGAAGCTCTCGATCAAATGATTCGGTAAAACTCGTAAACGGCTAAACCGATTTGGCCAGCCTTAGTCTTAAAAAATCGTGCTAATCGGTAGGTTGTCGGAAAGGTGAGATATTATTTCGAAATCGCGTAGAAACTTTACATTTTTAATTTGAAAATTTTTATAGAAGCGTAATTTGAATAAAACAATGGACGGTGGCTAATACGTCAAGTATCAAACGTTTTTGAGAGATGATATTCATTTACTTTTAATACAAAGTTTTGCGTGAATATTATTTAATTATGATTAAATTGTAGTAAGTAGTTTTGTTCGTAGTTATATTTATACACCAAAACGTTATTAAACGGGCCGCAAGTGTTAATAAATGTTAACTTTTTTGAAATGTTAATATGAAAATGCACTTTTTGGCATATTTGGCTCAAACGCGGTGCTCTAAAAGATCTTATTTGTACAATTATATACTCATTGATATTTGTAAAACATTTTCTGGGTTATATTATTTTTTATTTATGTTGTTTAAATTCAGAACCTAAATTTGGTATCGATCAAAGGGACATTTTGTCGAATAACATTTTCCGTTTTCCCAGTTATAATTCCCAGAATTTATCGAAAAATAGATAGTAATATATAAAGTAATATATATACATTTTCTATCTCTACTCGCAGAAACTTGAAATTTTTTCATAAGCTTAGTAGTATTATTTACAATTATACACAAAATTCAGAATCCAAAAAGAATCTGAAAAACTTGAAACGTAATCAATAAGTCGAAAGACCAAAAAGACTTGGGTTGGATTATACCATGTTGTCTATAGAAAATGTATAAAACTTCCAGTTTGATTGTATTGACAAAAGATAGACAAACTAATGAGGTTTATTGTTTTTATAATACCTCATTTTATATAGCATTCACACAACACATCCTTATACACTTCAAGTATTAATTATTTTGATTCTCTAGAAATTGTTTAGAATATACCTTACCTAGCAAAATAACGTTTGCCGGGTCAGCTAATATATTATATTTTTGTATATATTTCTTCATTTATATAACAATGTATCAATTACACATTTTCCCGCTTAAATTCAAATTTTGAAAGGTATATGTCTAGGCTAAATGCACAAAGATGTCAGCACCATAGCTTCAATTTTGACATTTTATCCAAACGTCAAAAAACGTATCAAACTGTCAGATTACTTAGCTTTTGTTTGTGCAAAAGCATATTTATTACAATTGTAATTATTGTGAAAGTTTATCAAATGGAAAATCAAATATTGCAATATAGACCCTTTTCTTCCTGTATTAATCCCAGCTTTTGGCACAAGTTTACAGAAATTAAATTGGACATTGACAAATTGGATGACAATGGCAAAAATATCATTGGGTTTTTCACAAACTTTAAAAGCGTTGGAAACTTTTTGGACGTGGATTGTACGTCTTTTAATAGGTAAATTATAATATGATTTAATTTTATTACTGTTGTTTAATTTAACATGCAATATAATGTTTTTTTAGTTAAGGTAACCTACAATTTTTTTTAAAAAAATAAGAAGGAACTATAAGAACTTTATTTATTCTAAAACCAAATTTTCTTCAGTGTGGATTTTTGAAGTAAAATTTACTAAACGAAGATTTTTTTATAATAGTTAGATGACCCGACAGACGTTGTCCTGTTACCCACATTTACAATTAAAAAGTTCCAAATTTTTTAATATCCTATCCTATACTTTTTAATATCCTTTTTGATGTGCTGCCTTTGTGATTCATTTATGATCTTAGCATAAGCAGTTTAAAAAATTCAGAAAGAAATAATATAGTATCTGCCGTAAAAGAACAATATCACATTTGATTTTACCACGCAACATAATTGCTTCAATAATTTAATCTATAATTTTTATAATCTTGTACGATATATTAGTTGCTTTTTGGCAATTATAATTTCTAAAGTACATTTTTCTTACTAATAATTTAATAAACATTATTGTTTAAATTCAAATCTTAGGTGAATTAATTTGTAAAATTAAGTTCATATGAGCACTCGTCAATTTGCTAAATATTCCATATCATAGGCCAAACAAATTAATTTTCGTGACACGAAACAAAATACTAAATCATTTTTTTTTATAAGTAGAAATATTTTTTTGTATTGTTAGATAATTTAGTAAAGTAAACCAACATGCGACATGCATAAGTTTCAAATGAATAATGTATATGCAATTTTGGATTCAATGCGTTATTTATTAAACTGAATTATATAATTTCATCTGCTAAACCAAATACTGTTTACTGTATCTTATTGTGTTTTAATTTCTGACACATCTCAGCTGCTTTTCGGCAATAATAATGTAGACATTACATTTTTCTTGTATATTGTATTATAATATTATCAAGGCTCATAATTTCAGCTAAATTCAAATTTCAAGTAAATTGACATTTCTAGAAGATGACAGTTCAAATGTTTTCAATGTAAAACAATGATATGTGTTTTTTTGGTAATTTTTACCATTTGTTTCTACAATATTACTAACGTTTTATCGTTCATTAAATCTTATAAACTTTCTTTAACAACCTCTAAAAAGATTTATCAAGATCCGAATAACCGTTTAGGAGAAGTATCAAATCATACACACGTACAGATGAATTTTATATATTAGACATTTAATCAGTTTATATTCTTTTTCAGGGAATATAATTCACAAACCCACATATATCCAGCTCATGGTGTAATTTTTAATAAGAACACAATTGAAGAATTCAAAAATTGCGATAAATCTTTCGTATTGAATAAAGCAGGAGACATTTTATGGAATAACATTACACAAGGCAACTGTTTAAAAGACCCTTCAATTTTGAACACTTTTATTATATTGTCTTTTGCGGTATGACTTAGATTATTGTTATTCATTACTCTTTATTATATATATATATATATATATATATATATATATATATATATATATATATACACCTAAGTCTGTTTTTACACGGAGATTGGCTCCAGAAGAAGCCGTGTAAAAAAAAAACGTGTAAAAAAAGACATTGATCTTATACAAAAATGGGTGATTTGTCCTAGTCTCTAAAATCTATTAAAATTAGTGAAAAACAAGAATTTTCAAGAACAAGAATTCATGTTTATTTTAATAATAATTCCCCTAAATTAGTGCTATTCACATTTGCTTTGACCAGTAATAATTGTTTGTACGCGCTAAAGGGGAATTCATTTAAATCTTTAAGCTAGTGTTCGCAAACTATCGATACTATCGATGGTTTCAGACTTTTTTCTTTTATAAATACTTTTTTGTGATATGAACATTCTTCGCAAAAATTAAATTTGACAAAAAAATTTAAGTACATAAAATTTCAAATCGTGCTAAATGGAATAAAATCGTGTAAAAAAATTAAAAATATTCAATTTTCAAACCGTGTTATATCAAAACCGTGTACAAAAAGACCGTGTAAAAACAGACTTAGGTGTATATATATACCGGTATGTATATACGGTAAGGGCCGGTCCTGCCTTGCGTGCGATGCATGCAAAAAATGCGGGCGCACGCCTTAGGGGGCGCCAAAACGAATTTCGGAAATTAAATTTATGATATATTATTTATATTTTTTATTATTTATATAAAATCTAGAATAGTTAAATAAATTATAACAAACAATCTAACTTAACTAGGGATTAATAACTCTGCAAATTGGTAAATAACAGCTCTGTTCATTGTTTAATCTACTTATTCGAATTGAAATTAATCTACTTATAAAAAAAGAAATTATGGATCTAATTTATCCAGTGTTAAATCCCGTAAAGATTAAATTAATTATTGAGCATTATTGACGAAAAATTGCGAGCTGATTTAGTTGAAACGGAACTTTTTGAAAAATATAAACAAATTATATTCGGGAAAATGAAGAATGGGGAGTCTGTGCTTAGAAAATGGCATGTTTATTCCGAGAAATTGAATTGTAACTTTTGTTTTTGTTGCAAATGTTTCTCATCTGATGAACTGAATTGAATATTGAAGACATGCGTGGTTAGGGTTATGGAAATGGAACCAATATGAAAAATGAAAGCAAAATTTACTTTGCAACAAAAATCTTAAAGCTTTTTTTATACCTAGTGGTGTATATACTCTAAATTTAAAAATTATTAACTATGCAGAAATAATACATATTAAATATAATTAGTTTTTTTCAATATAGTTCAAGAAATTACACATTTCTTTGAATTTTTTACTGATTTTTTGGACAATACTTCTAAAATACGTTAACAATTGATCACAATCACAATTGGAAGAATCTGATATTCTGAATATGACGGAAAAGCAAGGATGATTACAACAATTCGGGTCTTACGATATCAATAAGAAGTTTAAGACGCAAATTTGGATATTGTAAATAATTAAAAATTAAATTAAATTAAAATTAAAAAAATCTAACAAGAAGTACGAGTGTTATGATTGAAAATGAAAAGCTAGTTTTTTTAGCTCTCTTAATAAATCAGTACAATGTTTCAAAACCCAAATATTATTATTGCACGAAAATTTAAAAATATTTGATTATGATCAACCCGCGAATCGCTTTGATTTTCTAAATAAATTTCAAATCAATGTATTTTATACGCTTTCAGATTATATCTAATTTTTTGTGTACCAAATTCAGAATAATCAAAAATTAATTTAAAAAAAAATTGTAAATATTTATATAATTTTAATGATAAACTGTTAAGAGTTAAGTTAAAATTAATAGGGGAGGCGCAAGAAAAAAAGTTGCATGCGGGCGCTAAGTACCGCAGGACCGGCCCTGTATATATATATATATATATATATATATATAAATTATTGTTTATAGGATCTAAAATCATATAAATATTATTATTGGTTTGCTTTCCCGGCACTATCAACACCAATATCATATTTGGAGAGTACTTACAAAGCTGAGGAAAAATTTTCTTCTGAACAGGTAATAAAATAAACATTTAAAGTTATATCAAATCCAATGTAACAATGTTGTCTTTTTTCAGCTAAAAAATATTTACGAAGTTTATGTGTCGCTCTCTTCCCGGGAACAAACGTATTTTATTTTATGTGAAAAGAACTCTAAATTTATTTCATTCACACTAGATGCTTCCATAAGTATCGACTCTTCTGATAATCTCAAAGAATATTTTGAAAAATATGACAATATATACTTTTGTTTCTCTGATCCAAATAATGATATGAATCCTGGATGGTCTTTACGGAATTATATCGCGCTTCTTATGCACCATTGGTAAATATATATATAAAA